GGCAGCCACTTCAGGGCCCTGCTGCCAGCAAAAGCCACATTTTGGCTCAGACACTGAACAAGCCTGGTGGCCCCGTTCCTGAACCCCACCTTGTGCCCCAACACCCATGCGACAGCACAGACTCCTCCCCAGACCTGCCCAGTTCTCAACAGTTTTGGCAGATTATTGTCAACAGCCCTGCCCTGTCTTCCTGTTTGAGTGCTGTGGGACAGTGACTCTTTTTACCGAAGTCACTGTCTCTCCATGCCTTGTCACCCTCCCTCCACTCCTGGCTCTCCTCCTCCTGTGCAGCAATCCACCCTTGCTGCTCCCTCACATGCACCTTCCTCTGAAAGCTGCCTGTGCACCTTGAGGATTTTACAGAGGTGTATTCATGAAGTGGTGTTGTTATGTCACATCATAGCCAAGGGCACAAAAAATATCCCAATGGCAAATAAAGGGCAAATTTTTTTGTGTGAGTATGGGAAGTTCTGTATCAGCAAAGCTCTTGTATAATAGAGCTTGTGAATGCTTTTTACCATCTGTAGTTGGCAAGGAGATTTTGTCCCATCCTGGCAAGTGATGACATGGCCTCAATAAAACATGACTTTGTCACCTCTTGGATGAATTACAGCAGTACAAAATAAGGGGATATGAAGTCATCTGCCTTTATGGCTCCGTTCATACCAGAATGAAGCAGGCCAGCCCTCGAGCAATCCAAGAAATTATCAAAGTGCTCTTGTTTCTTTCCTTATCTTTCAGGCAGTCAGTGAATTGGCCATTACACCCTGAAGAGTCTCTGAAGGACTGTAATTCAACATATTTGCTCCTTAACCACAGTCTGTTACCAGGTAACTTTCCTTTTCGCCAGAAAAAAAGAGCTGGTTTTTTGTTTAAAGGGTTGCAGTTCTTGGCTTTAGTACAAATGTGCATAGCACAGCAGACAGGAAAGGAACACATTTTAGATAAAAAATAAACAGCACAAATTTCTTTTTGGATTTGAAAGGAAGAAAGAGTCATAAACAACAAATGGCAGCTGAGTACCTCCCTAAAAAGTGCACAGTAAGAGGGTTATGAGGGAGATGGAAAAGGTGCTAAAGAGAACAGAATGAAATGGATCTCGCAGTGGACCTCTAAGAACCAGAAGGAGTTTGATCCCTGGTGTTAAGGGAGCAACATTGATTCCAATTATAGAGCACTTCTCAGAACAGTATCTTTGTTTTACATTGAAAATTGTGTGAAATTCATTGTTAATTTAGCTTTCATCTTCTCAAGATATGTATCACAAGTTCTGTAGCTACAGGCTCCTTGATCTTTGAGTGCAATTTATGTTTAAGACTTCATTGCCACTGCTAAATCACAGGATCCAAGAAGCAGTTGAATTGACAGCATCTCTGGAAAACCCAATGAAAACAAATACAGACTTTAGCCTTATTCAGCATACATTTGTCCTATGTTTTTTGTGGATTACCTCTAATGTCACACTCCTTTTTGGAGTAGCACCATGGACAAGCTAAACATCATACCAAAACTAATCGTCTATGCTTAAAAAAGTTAAGAGATCTTTTTACCACCTGGAATAAATTGAAATGAGGCAACTTCAACAGAATAATCTCAGTTTTCTTTTATCTTTGTTGCTGGACCCTGTACTCCCTGTACTCCAGTGATCTACACACTCCTGCTGGTACATACACTGTGTAGTTGCAAGTTGACTTTTTAGAGACATTTTGAGACGAAGCATACAATCTTATCCAGTCCAATATTTTAAGCCTGCACAGTTACACAATCTGAGTAGGGACAATATAACCTGTTGACAAACTGTGGCCTGGAGCAGTACTTTGCTTAGTGAAACTGTGACCACACCTACTTAAGAGCAATGGTTCACTTGAATGACCATCTCTCATACTTGGCACTTTACGTCTGTAGACTATTCTTATATGTAGCAGTACATGCTGCCACACATGACATTTGGCTTCTACTAAATATTTCAAGTAACAAGCATCAGATACAAATACAGATGAAAACATGGCCAAATTGGTAAAGAACTGTGTGAGGTAAAAATAACCAAAAGCATAAGATGATCAAGAAAGTAATACAATAATTTATGATTTTGTATAGTTTCACTAACTGTGATGTGAAGTTGTGGCAGCATGTTTATCAGCATGAATTAAGCATAAAGTGAAACCGAACCTAGATCAGCTTTTTCACCAGCCCCGGAACAACAAAGCCTCGTTTCCTAGAGATTTGTGTCCTCGGCATACTTAATACAGTGCAGTTCACTCTTCCTGTCCCCCAATACTTTCTGCTCTATTCTGCCACTATTCCCAGATGTCCTCCTTGTCCCAGACTACCATCTGAGCAAGCGGGAGCGTATTTTTTGCCTGGTTTTTAGGTAATACTTAAAACTATGTGTGCGTTGCACCAGCAGCCAGCAGCTTGGACTATGTAACTCCTGAGTAAAGGTTAAGGGCTCTGTCTCTTTCAACAGGAATAGAAATTCTTTTCATGATTACTGGATTTCACAAAATTTACCAAATATATTATCATCTTTTAATGTCTAGTTTTAACTGGACTTGCTACAAAGCCAGCTCTCAGGTTCTTCAATTGTCATTGGGAAGGAAAACAATGGAAAAACGCCTGCTCACAATGTATTACCACAGAAAACTACTTTAAAATGCTGAGTTTACAACTGCAAGGGTACAAGTACTTGTCCTAAGAGTTCTGACTGTTCTCAGCTTGTAACAGAATAAAGTTAAGGTACAGTTTTAAAGAGGCACGGTTATAATCCATTTTATTACTATTTGTAGTTATTAACCTTATGGTCTCTATACCATAATCTGCAACTGCAGTTGCTAGTAACTGGATTTTATTATTCCCACATCTTAAAAGATAAGATCAAGATATGAAAGGCTAAAACCAAATGACCCTCTTGCTGCTGCTGGCATGGCTCACTCAGATCACAGTGAGGCAGGCTTCCTTAGGGATCTAAAAGTTTTAAGATACCTGCTGTTTGCATACTTGCTGTTTACGTGCTCAGTAAATATGGATCATAGATATAGCTTAGCACTACATATTTAGGGATGAGCAGTTCAAAAGAAAATTATGTTATATATTATGTCACAAATGTAGTCAGTGTTACAGCTATAAATTTTACCCTTGAAATATATTCTGTCAAAAACACTGGCCATGCCTTGTAACATTTCCCGTTGGCAAGATAAAACTTGGATGAGCTCTACATTACTGGAATGGCTTCAAAACCAACTGCAGGCAGAAATTATTTATAAGTAAAATAGTCTTCTGCTACACGGTGTTCTGACACAGCACAGTACCGGCGTACAGCTCTCCTCAACAGGACCATGACCTTCAAAATGACTGCACACAACAATGCTGTGCCTACTGTGAACCAGTCACACAGAAGTGTTTGCCCTCCTGTAGTTTCATTGAAAGCTAAGAATAACACTTTACACAGAAGTACTCCCACTTAAACAAGCAGGACTACTTGTAACCAACAATTCCAGCACACAGGTAAGGCCTGGGAAGGAAGGGCAAATATTCACTGATTGGTTACACAGTTGAACACCGGGGTCTGGCGTAAAGCTTTAATATATATTTTACATCAGTGCAATTCCCCTGGAACGCACATTTTCACATGATAAAAATCTTAAGTAATACCACAGTAAATCACAACACTGAAAGTTAACTGTTAATACTCCACTGAATGGAAAGATTTTTTTTTTTTTTTTTTTTTTAGTAGAATATTTTAAGTGTCTCTTCTTAATAACAGGTTACACACCATTTTCCCCATATACAGATAAAAGGCCTGTCTCTTAGTCCTGGCTGGCTTTTAGTTCACCAACAGCTATTTTCTCATCTCATGTCCCTAACTCCTTTCTCTGGCAGGTCATGTGGCTGAAGAGCTCCAGGGCAGTGTCTCAGCCCAGAGGAGCTGACCAGCCCCAGCTGTGTCAGAGCCAGACGGGTGCAAGAACCAGCCTCAACTCCTCCAGCCAATACTCACCACATTTTCCTGCTCTGCTGATGCATTTCAGCCTTGAACCGAAAAATGCCTGTTGTGCATTTGTAAGAGACACAGGGCTATTACTTAAGTGAGAAGAATGCGGGATGATTTTTTTTTAAATAAATAAATGCTTATAGTATACAATCAGTGAACATCCCGTTGATGCTGGAACAAAAATATGTATAAAAACTTTAGCTATTAGATTTCCTTCTATTCATTGTTTCTGATTAACCAGAATGCACAATATAAAAACACTAATTTTCTCAGTTCAGGCCAGATGCCCCAATTCCAGAGACGATATCCACTCAGAAACTGATTAATGCCTATTAATTTCATGCCTTTATAACAAAGATAAATTCAATAATATATTTACACAATTTTTTGAAATAATCCATCCTCTGATCCTGCATTAATTTCTTAACAGTTGCAGGACACATCACCTTATATTGTAAATCTGGACTGCATACTGATAGACTGTCACAGGTCCTGTTTTCTTTCCAACAGCTATAAAAAGCTAAAGCAGGATGTCATTCCTGTTTTCATTTGCTAGCTGTTTTCTCTCCCCTTAAATTCTATTTTTTGTTTCTTTTCCTGTTAGAAATTACCTCTCAAACCAACTAAATAATTTAACACTTACTTGCAAAAAGTGATCTAATTAAGGAGTGAATCCATGCTGAACACTCTGCAATGCAGGCAAGTATGTGAACTGCAGTTTTGGAAACAGTTTTGTTTACCATAAATGAAACTTAGGTTCTGTGAAAGAACTCCTGCTGAATATAGCAAAATTTCCAAATACTCAGCCCCTTGAGAAAAAAAATGCAGCACTCGGAATATTTTTAATGGATTTACTGGTGAATATTTCACTCTCAGATATAGCATAACCATGTCACAATTTTTTTCCCTCTACTCTTTTATTTCTTTACATATGTACATTACTTAAAACCACATAGATTTATTGAAGTCATCCTCAAAAATACATTAGCAGTTTTTTAAAACTGATCTTGCACCTTTTAGTGACAGCATCTACATAGTATCAATACAGAATTTAAAGTTATAAGTTTCAACAGAGGCACTCTGAGGAGAATGAGAAGTCCGATTGGGAGAGATTTCAAGCGTGGAGGGACATTTACAGAGCTTAAATGGACTGTTAACTTATTGGACTGACTGTTATTCCCCAGTTCATCATTGGTTTTGCATCAAGTTTAATGTACCCCAATATTATTTCCCTTTGTCCCTCAGATTTTCCCGCCAAAAGTTGTTTCCCACCTTGTTCTCCCCTGCTTTCCCGCTCCTCTGTCACTGATTGGTTGAGGCTTGCCGCAGTGCAGAGTGAGCTACCATTGGTCCTTTCCCCTGGATACCCAGAAGTTACACCCACCTTTCCCCTGTCTCCCAATCCTGTCTTACCCTCAGTTGTCAGTCCCATGCTCCTCCTCAGTTCTGAATCCTCCCCTCAGATTTACCCTATATAAGTCCCTGTGTTCTCTCAATAAATCGGCATTGCACCCAGACCCTCAGCTGCGTCTGAACCCTTTGTGTGGTGCCGCGTACCTATCCCTTTTTCCCTCGGGCCGTGGCAGCACTCCCTCATATCGATGTTTGCAAACCACTTATTAAGAAGGGATAGTGTTACAAACAAATCCATCTGCTGTGATACCACTGCTCTCCACATGCATTACAAACAGCGTAAGTCAACATTTGTTCATCTGGATTCGTGTTTCGCACCCAACCTGGAAGAAAGAGAGTTCCTCTGGCGATCATAGTGACAGTGCAATCAAATTTTTCACAGCGCCTACACTTTATTTTGTTTGTCTGTGTGCCTTTAATAACTTGTGGAAGCTGATGTTCCTGAATAGATGATTCTGTGTACAGAGCCCTGAGCTGTTTCAGTTCATCGCTGGCCATTTCCATCACTGTCATCTCAGCAAAAGCCTTTGGGCTCAAAGTTCCTGTAAAAAGGTTATGTTTCAAGTGGCAATTTTTAGGGTTCTTCAGGTTAGAGATTTTACTTCTGATGCAATTTTTATATTTTTTGTCATTTTTAGCATGAAGAGCAAAAATATGTTTTTCAATTTCTTTAGATAACTGTAGCCATTTAACAGTTTCTTCTTCATCTTTGGCAGAACCAATCAAAGCTTTATATAGAAGATCTGTACATTTATACCTAAGAGCTCTATTGGGTCCTGATGGCAGACTTGCTCCATTAACAACAGATTTAGAATCTTCATTAACAATGTGTTGCTCCTCAAAAGAAGAAGGCTGATTCATACTCCCTTCTGCATTGTTACATACCACATTTTTAACAGTTTGTGATGGGACCAAAAAGCTGGAACTAGTACCAGCTATTGCCTCCTCCTGATATGGTCCTTCAGACAGCAACTGCTCTCTAGGAACCACACTGCAATACCCAATTTCCTCTTTCACATACGCAGAAAATGACTGTCTAACTTGCATTGACCGAACACAGTTATTCTTGTAAAGTGCTTTCCACCTTGATAATAACTGCTTTGCTTTGTTTTTCAACCGTCCTGAAGGGCAGCTCTTGAGTACTCTGTATACAGCCTTGGTAACTTCTGTCCCCTGAAGATGTTCTACAATCATATCAACATCTTCAAGTTCTTTAAGATGATCCTCAATATCTTGAAAATTGTTCTCAGACAGCAGTTTTTCAATACAACGGGTTCTGTGTACAATATTTTTCCAATCAGACATTTTTAAACCTGAAACAAAAAAAAATTTATCATATTTACTGCATTTATGGCATTAATTCATCTTCTGTATATTCACACAAGGTTTTCTTTTTCATTTCATGCTATTTTACACTATTTTATTTGTATACATTACTGGGTTTGCCACCATTTTCTTGAAATTGTGTACAGAAGAATTAATGAAGCAAATGCAAAATGCAGAGGAGCCCAGCTCCTGGAAAAATGCAAATGCTAGTCTAACTCATTCCAGAAAAATACTATCAGACAGGAGAGCCCAGAGGGACTTCTGCTGGGGTAGTCAAGTGACTACAAATGAACTCAGTGTAAGGCGCAATGACACAGAATAATAGAAAAATCAAAGTGGGTCCAAAACCTTCACATTGTAAGGTACTTTTTTTGGCTTTTTTTGGGGGGGGATTACAAGTTTAGTTGGTTTTTGGGGGGTTGGTTTTATAAATTAGTCATTCCTGTAACCATATATTAAGTTAAAAATTTTTTTTCACAAATTCTTATAACAAATGCTGATATGTTTGGCTATCTGTGGTTTTGTTTCAATGAAGTCTGCAAGATTCCACTTGGTTTCTCATAAGAAATTCTTTAGATAAATTCAAATATAGAGGATTTGGTATTAGAAGACTGACTTGGAATAGGGAGCAATGTGTATCATAGCTACGTTTTCCACAAATTTATTTGGTTTTGCCACTGTATGTTGTAGCCTGTGCAATGGAATTACTGATAAGTGCACAAAATAGACATATGCATTAAGAATGACCCAGGAAACATACAAAGTTAGAAAGTTTAAGAAAATTTGCACAGTCACATTGTTTTAGTTAAAATTTTAACTTCTACAGCAGACAGATGAGATACCTGTGAATTGTGATTTTTTCATTTCACACTTTTTCCTCAAGCCTTTGTTACTTCAAAAGAATAAAATTAACCAGCTAATGAGGACTTGGCATCTGACCAAAAGTTACTGACCTAAATGAGTTTTTCAAGCACCTAATGGAGATGCCAGAGTTTTCAGGCTTTTGGAGTACTTTTTTGTCACCATAACTTGATATTAGGGATTTCTTCAATTAGTGAACAGCAAGTAGGTGAACACGTTGTATTGGGAGCTGCAAAGTGAAGTTTTGGGGTTACTCTGCAGAAAGTCTAAGTGAACTGACATAAATCAGTGAAACTTAAGCCCAAAACACCATTCTGGTTCCTACATGATCCTCGACTTTTCACTTGCTATGCTATATCTCTTCTAAAAATTTCTCTTTATAGGTGTTATCAGAGAAACAATTCAGAGTAGTAAACTTCTAACTGATGTCCCCACTGCTGCCTTTTTCTTGCTAGTTCCGGCTTCATATTACAGTTGGATTATCAGGATAGGGAAGCTCAGAAACAGTGACACCAGCAAAACAGTTTCAAAACAATGACATCTACCAATTTTGAAAATTCTTAAAACTTAAAGACACATCCCTCTATTTTCTTACAGCTGTAGCATTATTAAAGCGTGCTCCCATATATGCCAGTGTGTAAAGGAAAACCAAATGGTGTTTTCAGAATGCAAAGTCTCATGGCTTGAATAAAATTTCCTTTTGATTCCTTTGCCTCAACCCCTTTGACCAAAAAAATGCTCAGTGCATTGTTATTGTAAATTTACACACAAAAATATGTTGATATTACTAATGTTATTCTTCTACTTGCTGAAAAGGGGGCCCCTGGTGGTCTAGTGGTTAGGGTGCAGGACTCTCACCACTGCTGTGACCCGGGTTCGATTCCCAGCCCCCCGGGCAGATGGAGCTCGTCAGCCCTGTGAGGCAATCCATCTAAGAGAAGGTCACTCTAAACAAACCTACGTCCTGAGACCCTCACTGCCACTGTCCAAGTTTGCTTGGCCCCGGCAGATGAACCTCAGGATTAAAGGGTGGGCTCAGTTCAGCGCACGCTGTGTCTCACCTAAAAAATCCACTGCGCAGGCTCGAAGGGTTAATGACCTTTCCCAAATCTTCGCTCGCGAAGACTGGCCATTATTATACTTGCTGAAAAGGAGAATTAAATGTAGAATGCAGAAATGGATGGTGTGTTAACGTTGTGTTCCTCTTTTCTGCAGTTAGTCCTCTAAATTTATGCACAAAACCACTGTTTTGTCTGAAATTGCATACTTCCTGATTCTACTCCAGAAAAAGTCATTTGCTTGATAGAGGCAAGGCTAACTACACATGTCCATATGTAAAGGAGCTCATAAGCAGGGTTCTTGCAGCATCACTGTTTCCATGATGAAGACTCCTGAGGACGGAGTTAGAGGAGGGACAAGGGATACAGCTGGGGAATGTGCACGCTCTGTTGCTCTCTATGACCACCAGTCCAGATAATTCATTTTCTGCATGATAGAAATAAGTTCAAACTTCAGGTTTAAACTTCAGAGCATCAGAACTCCACAAAAGAAAAGGACAGAGAGCACAAGACTTCACTTGTTTCTATAATCCTGAACCATAGACCAACCCAACCTCCACAGTGAATGCTCTGAACATTCACTTAACCTGTATTTGAACAGTGCATTCTTGTCTAACATTTTGAAGTCCTGGAAAAGGCCAGTAATGGCTATTACAGAAACTGTTTTATTACTCAGGAATTTTCAAACCAGAGAAATAGGATGCAGTTTTCAAATACTTAAATTGAACCCTGTGCATCGTCATACTGAAAAGCACATGGAAGTCCATCCTCTCCTCTGTTCTGATGCAGGAACACACAGAGACTGTCAGTGGAAAGAGGTGCTTTCTCATGTACAGCTGCCCTCACTAAGCAGGACAGTTTTCTGTCTCCAGAACACTAAGTAGCTGACATTAGAAAATGATTATCTGCTGATTTACTGGTTTTCGTGCAATCTGGGGCAGAGTTGGTGAGACAGTCCTATGTTTGACCAGTATGGTTGTCCTATAACTTAGAATCAGTTCTGATTCTTCCAACATACTCCAAACGTAATTTTCTTCAGTTCTTGTACCTATGTATATATTGTATTACACTCACACACCATAAAACACACTTATCCAAATGCAAGATGACTTCATGAACTCTCAATATGTAGCATACAGGACTGTGGACACACAAAGAAATTACCACACACAAAGTACTCTGCCGATTATCTGTCCGTGTATATACTTTTACCCTGTGACAAAGGTGAAGTATTTTGATCTTTCATTGAGGACTGTGCTTCATAGAAAGTTTCCTCTCTAACATTGCAGGGTGAAGATCTGTAAGTAAGAAATGGTGCATGGAGTCCATGGATACCCCCTGCTTCATGGCAGTGGTCCTTGCTCACGGTTATCTACCTGACCCTCGGAAGCCCACCAGGGTGGCAAGGTTCTACCTAAGGACATTTACACTAAGGCAATAGATTAAATTATGAGATTAGCTCATTTGGTTAGAACAGGGTGCTAATAACACCAAGGTTGCAGGTTTGATCCCCATATGGGCCATTCACTTAAAAGCTGGACTCGATGGTCCTTGTGGGTCCCTTCCAATTTAGAATATTCTGTGATTAGAAATTTTAAATCTTCTCAGTCATGCATTGACCTTTTAAAGTTTAAGCAGCATTACATTCCAGTTCATAAATATTATAGCAGGAGTTAAATAAACAAACTGAAAACAGAATAGGGACATCAAACTATGAACAATTATTTTAAAATAATTTTGGAAATTAAACCACCTAACAGACTATTCACATTTAAGTCAAAACAATCACTTCTAAGGGAACGCTTCCCTCAACATGTACATCTTTATATGAGGTAGGACTGAGTGACTCCCTTCAAACTTACTAACCAAAGCTGGGTAAAAGTAACAGAAAAAGTAAGTAATCAAAAATATGACAAGAACAGAACTAAATCCATAATTAAATATTGCAATGGAGTGGGATATGCACTGGTAACTGGCAGAAGCACAAGAAAGAGCCAGCAGAGAAACAACTGAATAAAGGTAAATAATCAATGACACCAGAGAGATTTCTGCAGGGAAAATATTCTTGGAACAGCCCTGGCTTTGTGGTGTGTACCTAGTTTGCAAAAGATTTTAAGATCCTTCAAGATGAAAAGCAATATATACTCCTGAAGTATATATGACACTAACTAATCGAGTATAAATTTCATCTCTGTTTCCAAATTAAAGGGAACTGTGCTGAAAAAAAAAAAAAGTTGTTTGTGCATTTGTTGCCCTATAAATCAAGGAAGGACTGGACTTATCACCAAGGTTGAGACAGACCATTGTTTATGCAATCAGAAATTAAACACAGACTCCTGAACTTATAAGGAACATATAAGGTAATCAAATGGTTGATCTTTACCATTCAAAGGATGAAGCAAAGGTCATTACTGCTGGGAATCCTGTCTACCATTTCATGTTAAGTCTGAATCAAGCACCAATTCTGCTTTTCTAATCAAGGCACAACATGATTATGTCAAACAACTGTAGAAAACATGTTCTTCACAATTTTATAGGGAGAAATAAGAAATGACTGAAGCTGTGGTAATACTGCGGTGTATTTTCTAGTGGGAACTCAAGTATAGCAAGAGTGAGTTCCTTCCCACTGAAACTCTTGTTCCTTGAACTCTGATGTTTCTGTTACAAATCAGATAGAACAAACAGTAAATTGGGAGAAGTCTCAAAACCATCTGAAGAGAAATCAAGTGTTTCACAGAAACCAAGCTGGAATTCCAAATGGAAAATTATTTTACCACCTGAGGGAGCTGTAGCATAGAAAACCCATGGAATCTTGTGAAATGTGCATAATGAGAAACTCCAGTCTGTGAAGAAAAAAAAATAAAACAATTTCCCTATGACCTTTGGGAGACTTCACATTTTTACGGTATCTATTTGCCAAATTTTGGCAAAAATCCTTGCAGAATCCATAGGTGCTAGGATAGAGACAGGAGGGAAAGGGTGCACCCCTTATCCAGCCATTGTCCTTTTCATTGCTCTTTCATTTGACTTTTTTAAATTTAGAGTTTGACTGCTTTTCTACCTGATTT